TGACCATTTCGGCAAGTGCCGTGGCCCCCGCGCGCGCAGACGTGGGACGATGCGCCTACCTTTTTGTGCCACGTGGATTTAAGCGTGTGTGTCGAGTGCTTCCCTGTGTTCAGTCCTCCAGATGAAGTGCTCTTCGATATTGACATCTGTCGCCTTAGTAGTGCTGGGAAGATCCATCTGTAGTTAACGTAACTGCCATTGCGTTCAAACGTTTTGCAGGTTTTCTTGAGAAAGAAGAAAAACCCCATCTAGTTTCTGGGGCCAGTTACATACGCGAACACAAGATTTTTTCAAGCTATGGAGGGCTCTGTCATAATCTAGTAGGAATGTCTAGGAAAGTAACTCGCTGTTAAAGTGGGCATCTATTCAGAGAAACGGCTGCAGAAATGGCATTGTGGGGTCCATGTTTATGGTTTCTCAGCAACGCTGGTTGTCGTCTCCTCGGCTGCAAAATTAGAGGACGTTTTTTTTTCGACTTGCCAGCTCTACAAGCTTAGCTGGGGCTCCCCGCCACGCTGGGCTCCATCAGGCTCACGCATCGTCAGGACTCAAGAATCAGTGCATGGAATTTAGTTAGTAGCTTATAGTTGATGCATGAGACAGAAACGAGCCCAAGGCCTGAGCTTTGTTCACTCTGCGGGGCACCATAAGGTATTCCAGACTGTAATGTATTAAACGTTGAAGCATTCAGGTCTAGCCCTGCTTGAACTCCATGGCCAGATCTGTCGATTAGGTACCATTTCTACATGTAATCACGTTGCAGAGAACGGCCAGTAGTTACATGTACGCCCAAACTTCTCTTAGAGTTCACTGGGAGTTTTGGCGTGCAAAGAATGTGGGAATGGATCCTGCATGATTTATTGGCAGATAATTTACACAGGCTACTTCTTGGCTGCGTTACATGCATTTCCTTTCCGCAAACCCTGTCTTGGAGTACTTGAAGCGCCACCAGGTTCATCTGCAGGAGCTTTTGAGTACAGTTTTGGGAGAGAATGCCATCAAGCTGACTTCCTCAGTTTTGGAAAAAAAAAAGAAAGAATGTATACCTAAGTTATTTTTGTGCATGGTTGTCCCTCGGGCTTTAAATGGCTATAAAGTAAGGACTATAGCCATTTAAAAGAAGTTACTAGGAAAGGACCACAGTGACCTTGGCAATATCTAATTGCAGGCTAAACTTTCTGGGTGGGCATTCAGCACTGGATACAAAAAAAGTAAAATCTTGGCAGGAGCTGCCAGGTCTCATTATTTTCAGTAGAGCTTGACATTTCCAGTGTTTAAAAAAAAAAAAAAAAAAAAGGAATAAAAAGAATAAAGTCAACAACTTCAAAGCAGTAGGAGCATACAGAAAAAAATGTTTGAGCAAAACCAATTTAGCAGTGATATAATTACAATCAGAGAAATGAGCGAAGCGGCTTTTTTTTTTTGCAGGCTTGCTTACGGCTTTTCTTCTCTTCTCCCTTCCCCGTCCTCCCGCTGCAGGAATGGGAGCTGGTGGTGCTGGGGAAGTTGAAGTGGAACCTCGCCGCCGTCACCCCACACGATTTCATTGAACACATCCTAAGGAAGCTGCCTCTACCTAAAGACAAGTTGCTTTTGATCCGGAAGCATGCACAAACGTTCATTGCCCTTTGTGCCACAGGTAGGCCAAGGTGCTCCGGGCGCGCCTGCTGCTTGCCGTGTGGTTGAAAGGGCGGGTTAGTCACTGGTGGTGCAGAGGCTTTTCATCCCCTCCGTCCTTACGTGACGCGGGACGAGCGGCTCAAGCCGGTGCGATTGTTCGCAAACGGCGTCATGAATCAAGCTCCAAAACGGCGTGTAAACAGGATTCTTGCCATCGGGGAGCCGTAGTGCAATTGCAGTCCTGCTCCTACCAATGCGTGTAGTGCTTCTGCGGTAAAGTCAGTAAGGCTGGATTAGACCGTACGATTTTCTACTTTGCCTGTTCGCTAATTTTTTGAAGGGCCACAGATGGTTTGCAAGGGCAGATGTGGGACAGCCAAAACACTAGAAGCTGTTGTGGCACATTAGCCCAAAATGCAGTGGGCTAATACATGCAATTAACGTGGTTTGTAAATTTTTCATTAACTAGTCACTGTTCAGATAAAAGGTAGGAGTTGTATTTTAACATGTATGTGATACTACTACATTACTGAAGCGTAGGGAATGACAATTTAGGAAGTAAGTACTTTTTTTTTTAACATTCGGATTCTTTCTCTAACTTCACTCCAAGAAAGCAGTGAAACTAGTCCGTTTCGTAGGGAACCGTTACACTCTCCTTTTGTTTGGCTGAATACAGTTTCTGAAGATTTAGGTGAGAATAATTGTTTCTGTGGAAGAGAGGCTTCTAATTTATACCTGTCTGCAAAACAGTGTTTTTTTTGTTTCTGTTTTTCCCAGTGACTTTTAGGAAGTAAGTGTACTTATTTTCATCTAAAGGAGTAACGTTTAGACCACTTCTTAGAAGCTAGACCTGGAAGAGATAAAACAGCATGCAGTGTTTTCCAGGGTTATTATCAAGTAGTAAACGGCTCAATGTTTGCATTCACTACAGTTTGACATACCTAGTCCTTTGTGATAGGAACTGTTCAGCCTGCGTGTTTGCAGAGGAAAAGGAAGGTGGGGTGCAGCTTTGGGTATGAATGTCTACTGCTGCGCCTGCCTCTCGGTATTTGCAATGTAGTGACTGCTTTTACGATGTGGGCCAGTTTTTGCTATCTCAGTCAGTCTGTTCTAGAGGATCTTGTATGGGCTTTATTAGGGTTAATTGACTTTTTGGTTACCAAGATGCTCAAGCTTTCCTTCTTTTCCCACTGCTGTTTGATGCTTTTCAGGCAAAAGACCACAGGGCTCAACAGAAATACTGCTCAAAGTCTGCAGGATCACCCTCGGTAACTCATCAGACATTTCTGGTCTAACTAGCTTTTTACTTGAGGTTTAATCTGTTCCATCAGTTTTGCCGCCTTCGCTTTTCTCCCCTTACCTAAGATTCATTCACACTGCCATTTTTCTTCTGATAAAGATGGTCATTCCCATGGACATTCCTCTGGATCCTCACGACACCATCAGCCATCAACCTCCAGCATACCTGTGTTGTCTTCCAAATCAGACTAGTCTTCCCTCTCTTTTGTTGCTTTCACCTCCTATAATAGTGTTTTGTTTTGTTTTATCCAAGAGGACATTTTCTTGAGTGACGTAGATTTCATTATGATTTAACTTTCCAAATTTTGATCTGTAATCCTTTGCCCTTAAAGTTTTCCATATAACCAAACCATTGCAGGACTGTGGGCCATGAAGGAGTTTCCAGAGTCTATAGCTTCTTTCCACCCTTTCTCCATGAATTCTGTGGTGGTTAACTCCATGCTTTACTCGTTCAGTTACTTAGACTCCAAACAGCATCCCCTTTCCAGCCCTTAGCCCAGTCATGCACTTCCATCATGTGTTTCCCCCGTGTGATCTCCTTCTCATGTTACATGTCTCAAATCCATGAACCAAAGTCCTTTACGTAGAGTTTGAAGAGGCAACAAGTCACAAATTCTTTTCTTGCAAATGAAAACGTGATTGACTATATATGGGGCTTCACGAACGACAGGGCACCACTCTGCTGGCTGTAGATTTTCTTTTCTTCTCGCCCCATTTTCCACAGACCGCTGTGTCGGCATTTAGTTTTGAGGAGGACCCACAACCCCTTGCAGTTTCAAAAGCAGAGATCTTACCCCAGTCCTCATTCCCGGTTTACTAGCAAGCTATGACCCCCATTTGCATTATAGAAACGTCATGTTATTACTACTGTATTTCCCTTTCACTGTCACTCTTAAAGTCGTTCTTCACCCTCCTCGGTGAGGGTGAAGAAAAGCCCCTTCTCATCAGACTTCCTTCCAGATCCAGTTGTCATTTCCTTTTCTTGTCCTATTTGTTGCAGAGCTTTCATCGGCCGCTCTGTTTCTTCTTTCCCTTTCTCCCTCAAAGCTTCTGCTCTCCACCAGCTCGGGTTAAGCCTGGTGTTTCATTTCCCCATTTGCCTTCTTAGTGGCTGCCTCTTCCCTTGCTCCCTCCATGCGTTTTTTTTAGCCCGGTTTTGACTCTTTACTGTTACGAGACCTGTCCTCGCTGGCTGGCTAACGGCTCTGGTCTGGAGCACAGCAATGAATCTCTTCTTATTTCCATCTCAGTGCAACTTTCTCTGCTCTCAAGTACTTTTTCTTCTTCTTTAGTGTATCGTGCGAAATCTGGCATATTTTGAACTTTCATCCTCTAGCCTGAGTTATTCTTCACCAAGTGCTCCATTTTAATTTCCCAGCAAAAGTGTTATACCAGAAATTCCCGAGTGTTGCCTGCCTTTACAGAGCCGGCTGTGATCTCGGTCCTACAATAAGTTGTATCAGCAAACGGAGAGGGAAGCAACCATTAACAGTTCTGGATGTTGTGCTGGATGTGTACGATCAATTTGTTGTTGATCTCCTTTCCATTTGGATGTTACGCGAAAGGAGATGATACTCGGTTCTTTTGTATATTCCTCTCAGTCATGTTTTATCATTTTGGTGCTCTCTCTGTTTCTCTGTCTGTATTTTGAGCCCAGTTTCTGGGACGAGCTGCATGGATGTAAATCCACAGCCTCTCCCCAGTTCTTGTGGTGATTAATGATTCACATGAGCATGACTGAAACTGGAACGTATCCCTCTTTGCCCTTGGTCCCATCTGAACATACGGCTGCTGAGCAAGACAGAAGCTCGTTCCCTGAATGAAATTTTCTCTTTACTGTGCCCTGCGCCCACAACGCTTTCAGGAGCCTCCTTCTCCACTGCAAGGGGCCGAAAGTGGCGTCTGCCCGCAGCCCACCCCGGCTGTGCTTCTAGCACCGTGGCCGTGCAGACGGGGTACTGTCGTTAGCGGGAGCTCGATCTGTTGGCTGGGAATTGCCACGCGTAGGCCAGCTTGCTTCAAGCTGCGTCGCTCGCTGTGCAGTAAGAGCATATAGATTGACATGCACTGGCATAGCCTACTCTGTCATCATGTCATTTGTTTCCTCATCCCGCTGGTGGCTCCCTGTATAAGCTAAAATCTCCTTCAGGAGTCTTCTGAATTTTAAAGGCACTAAGAGGCTGCATCGAGACCCCTTGTCCTTACAGTATAGCTTGGCAAAACTGATGCTTACCGCGTTTTCAGCTCAGGAGGATGCTGTTTAGCTGTGAGCCCAACAGAGATGGCCCTTCTTTTGCTCCCTGGGATCCTGTTGCTTTGCTGCTGCGACCCCACCTCTTGTCTGTTCATTGCTTTGCACCCTTTGCCACTCCTCTGTCACTTCACACAGCGCTCCGTGGTTTGGAAATACTTTTTTTCTCTGGGGTTGCCCCTTTGCTTGTGCGTGCTGTGCTCCAAGCCAGGGAGTTGCTGCTGGAGGAGTGGGGAAGGGCACTGGTTCACAGAGCTGCGTGCAGAGCAGAAGAGGACTGTATATTATTTCCTTGACTTCAGCATGCCCTTCATTCCTTCTTCTTCCAGGCTGTTCAGAGTCACAGATGCCCAGCTGCTTGCTTTTGCGTTAATGCTGTCTTGTTGGAGGCGGTGCATGCCACTTTTTTGGTGGAGGATACCCCTTTTTATCTTGGTGCCTGTAAGGGCACCTATAAGGGTTTTGGGGGAGGACAGGCTGCGCAAGTCAGGCTTTCAGAAAGAGGAGCTGCGCGTCTCTGGACGTGAGCTGTCATGGAGAGGCTGATCTCAGTGGTGAGGAGGTTTTGGGTGCTTTACTTAAGTGGCATGCAAAGCTTAGAAGCAAAAAGCGTTGCAGACTTGCAGAGACAGAAGGCAACTTGTGTACATCCCTGGACTCAGCCCTTTGCATAGCAGCGTCCTCTGTGCTTCAGCCGAGTCCTGTGGCAGGTGAGACGTTCCTATGCTGGGTACAATGCAGCATCTCATAGACCAGTGGCTTTCAAAGCCTGTGTCTGCAAAGAGGCTGAGAAAGAGGAGGAAAATTTCAGCGTCAAGTCAGTTTTGTACAGTGTGCCAAACCTCTGCCCACTGTCTCTGGGACATTAATCATCTATGTTTGAAAGCTGAGAAGGCTTTTTTTTTTTTTTTAACTTCTGGGCCAAATCCTGGGTCCTTACTCAGACAGAAGTTCTGTGGAAGTCAATGGGAGTGTTGTCTGAGCAAAGACTGCGAGATGAGGCCTACAGCACTAGTGATCTGGAGGGTAACCACACAGAATGCTTTGTAACACCAAGAGGCATGTTTGGTCCTCAGGACCCCTGCTGGGCAAGTCTACCATGCATCCTTCCCCTGTCAGCCAATGTAAGAGTAATTTGGCTTTGTCCCTGCAGAGGGTAAAAGTGTGATACACGTTTTAGCTGGGACCTGTTCTTCGCGGAGTGAAGGAAAGAAGTCCACAGAGGCTTTGTTGGGTGGATTAATCTCTTAGAAATAAAATACATGTTGCAAAGTGGCAGTGGTTGCACAAATACTTCTTGCATGACAGAAGAAAGAAGAATCCACATGAATTCATTGCCACGAAAAAAAAGAAGGCTCTTGCTTGTTCCTGGGAGAGGCAGCTCATATCGGTTTATTGAGCTCTCCAGCAAAACGAAGCCCCAGGAAGCACAGTCAGCAAGTAAGCAGGGCCTGGGGCATGTTTCGTAT